ATTCTGGAAGGTGTCTTCCTCCCCCATGTTCCATTCTTCCCCCTCGATGATTGTGTCTTTAAGGTACAGCTCTTCAAGGTTGGACAGTATTCCAATTGTTGATAGTGAATCGGATGTCAGAGGAAACTCACGCAAACACAACATTTTTACACTCGAAGGGAAGTGAAAATCCCAAAGCCGATTTGTCGCTATAGAGAGCGCACTATCATTTGAATTTGAACTTATAAAAGTTACTTCGAGAGATTCTAGTTCATTTAAGAAGTCCAATTTCGGGAACCGATATCGCCCTGTTGAACAATCCCATGATTCCTTGAGATCAAATCGAAGCTCGTGAAGATTGGGAAACCTTTTGAAAATATCCTCTGTGTCTTTTGNCTAGTTCATTTAGGAAGTCCAATTTCGGGAACCAATATCGCCCTGTTGAACAATCCCATGATTCCTTGAGTTCAAATCGAAGCTCTTGAAGATTGGGAAACCTTTTGAAAATATCCTCTATGTCTTTTGTATAGGAAACTTCGAGTCCCCGTAGTAATCTCAAGCTCACTAACTTTGAGTCCTCTGCTACCAGTATTGGTTCATTTGTATCCAAATCAAAGAAAGAACAATCATCTATGCCCAGCACTCGCAACTTTACAAGACTCCAAATTGTTGGTAATATTACCAAGGGGGGGTCCATTTTTATTCACCCATAGAGTTTCCAGATTCCAGAGATTTGAAAAAGACGAAGGCAGAGATTTAACTTCTGTCCGAATGTATAAGTACCTCAAATGAACCAATGTGCATATTTTATTCAGCAAAGAATCATTCGCCGTGATAAAAAAGCTATCCAGTTGCAACACTCTAAGTGGCCTGAAGTGTCTTAGGTGGCATATATCATGAAGAAGACTATTGTCATGATATATGTGGTCAGTTATCCTCAAAGAATAGAGATGTTTACAAGAATGCCTTTTATTTTTTGAATGGAAGAGGGAAAAATTGTTATGCCCAAAGTGCCACTGACCATATTCAATGTTCATTTGACATGGCATCGGATCTGAAGAAGATGATGATGGAGCACTTGAACTTATCTCGTCAAACAACTTTTCCTCTCTTGCTTTTATCAAACAAAAGTCGTGCACGAGATCATGAATTTGGCAAGTCGGGTGTTTACCTATCTCATTGAAAGAAATTACCAAGCTACTGGAAATTAAATTATCCAAATAAACATCCATCACTTCTTCCACACTGTTCATCTCTGTGTGTTCCGCAAATCCTTCGGCACTCCAGAGTCTTTTCAAAAGTTCGACTGGAATTGCTCTGTCCTTCCGATAACTTGCAAAGTAAAGTAAGCACGACTTTAAGGGATCAGGTAAATGGTCATAACTTAATTCTATAACCTTCATCACGTCTTCTTCTTTCTGGAAAATGAAGGAATTCAAATTATTTCGAACTTCAAGCCACACACTCCTTTTCTTTTCCTTCCTTGCAATGACTCCAGCAATCAAATCAACCACCAAAGGAAGCCGTTTACAGTTTTGGACTATCTCTTCTCCAACATCCACTAGTTCATCAGGGCAACTTTCTTTTCCAAAGACCTTTTTCTCTAATAACTCCCAACTTTCTTCTAGTCTTAGCAATCGAAGGTCAAGAGGATCACTGTGGCGTTGTGCATGCATAGCCACTTTCTTTTCTCGAGTCGTCAAAATAACTCGACTTCCTTTCTCAACTTCAGGAAAAGGTCTTGTCAACTCATCCCATGCTGCAGTGTCCCACAAATCATCTAAGACTATAAGGTACCTCTTTCCAAATAGATATTTTCGTAGCTCATCAGCAACATCAATATTCTCACTGAATTTCAAAGCTGAGCCAGTAACTTGACTAAATAGTTTTTTCAGCAACTCCATCTTGTCATACTTTTGATCGACTGTACACCATGCACGGATGTCAAAATGCCCAAAAACTGACTTATCATTATACACTTTGTACGCCAAAGTAGTTTTACCGGAACCCGGCATACCAGTGATCGAAATGACATCTAGCGTTTTTGGTCCACTGGTGAGCTTCCTAATTATCAAGTATGTCTCCTCTTTAAAACCTACGATTATTTTTCCAGCTATTGATGACTTGCGCTCAAATGGCTTGTTGGGAGAGTTTACAACAATGACGCCCATGTTCTTGCGAATCTTCTCAAATAAATTTGAGACATCTTCTTTGATAAGATTGATCTTTTTTATGGCAACGGGAAGTGAGAAAATAAGATGTAAGAGACCATTATCTCTTACAATAATTGAATCAATGACATCTTTTGTCACGTATGCCACATCTAAAATACCTGCCCAGAGATCTTTATACAATTCTTGTTGAACATTCCCGAAGAAAGATCTTATGAATTCTAGATTTTCTTTCACCAGCCTGATTTCTTCCTTTATCAAAGCAACTAAATAAGCATTGGAATTGAGCAAGTCATTTATGTGTCTAAGTAGAAGATGCATGAACAGGGGTCCGTCACTCATGGGAAAGCAGAGTTGAGATGAGTCTGGAGCTTTCAAGTAAACATCTTTGAGTTCTCTCTTCAGGAGTTCAATATTTTCAAGCAAGCCTAGAGTTGCACTGTTTGTTACATTGGTACTCTCTCCATTCTTTGATTTCTCTTCTAAGTCGCGAGCAATAACTGATACGTCCCTGGTAAGTGCTCCAACACGTGCTAGGAATTCAAACAACTTGCTAGTATGAATAAAGTCCTTAGGCACATCAGTGAGAATGATTAATAGGAACTCTATCATGATATGAATGTTTCGAGCCCCTGGAGTGCTAGCGGTAATAACATTTATCATGTGCTCTTGTAGATGAATTAAATATTCTCTAAGAATGTCCGGAGAGGTTTCTAGGAGCTGCTTAATAAAGTGTCCAACTTCTGCTGATGTTGAAGCGTTCAAATTTGTAAAACATATGTGCATAACCTCCAACTGAGTTGGAATAATCTCAAATAATAGATGTTCTAGCTTGAAGAGTCGAGAGTGCCCACCAATTTGATTAGGCCATAGGAAGCGTCCTACTCTCTCAGCCATTAGTTGAAACTGAGGTAAGACATATTCAACAATCTCATGCCCAACGCAACCATTCACTATCAACTCGTGGAAATCTCTTATATTGCCACATACATTCTGAAGAATCTCATATTCTGTCATGAATGGAGAAAGTTGTTCAGCATGATACTTGGAAAGATGATGGAGATTCAAAAGGAGGAAGTCCAGCTCCAATACCATCTTTTCAGTTAGATCCACGTCAACAGCTTTTTGAATTTCTCCATTCTTTAAGCTCTCTATGAAATCCAGAACATTGAGAGTGTCCTTGCGAAGGGTATAAAATGACACCTGCCAAAAGACCAAACATTATATCAAATTTTCACAAAGAAAGACAGTTAATTCTCTATATATTATGTTCTTAGAGTTTGAGCAACTAGTTATGTATCCAAAATAAGCATGTCAAGAAAACGGTTTACTACATTATGCACTAAAAGGGGGGATGGACGATTTAGTGAAGATTTATTCTAACCATTCCGAGGAAGAGATGAATAGAAATAACTGTCAAACATAATAAACACAACCTCTTGAAAATCATAACTAACCAGGATTGATAAGCTTTATAATGTTTAGTTGTTTTTTTCTTTATTCTTACAACAAGAAGTTTATAATTCTATCAATAAGTTCCTATTCTTTGTTATAAAATAGTGAATGCACATGTCTCTGGTAGCAAAAACTTGCTCATACTCGGTATTTATACCAAATCATACTAACTTATAATGGTTAAGCGATTTAATAACGAAAGAATATATATTAAGTGAAAGAACTTTATGTGCCGACACATGGCATGCATTTGTTGGTTTAGTATATAAAGTCACAATTAATCGGGAAGATATAAAATAGAACAAACAAGAAATAAAATTTATCCGATTCATGATATTAAGAGAAAAAGTAAGTATAGACGTCATGGATTTCAATTTCTTCAACCATACATTCATTTGCCTCAATATTTTTTAGCTTCGGGTTCATTTGCTGAAGTATGAAGTGAAGAAACGGAAGTAGAGGTGATTATGTGAATGTGGGAATAATCACAACATACGTCACGGATTTCAATGTCTTCAACCATAAGTTCCTTTGCTGAAGTGGGAGGAGCAAGTTTCTGCAAATAAACACCAATAGCATCAAGGTACAACCCAGAACGCCCGTGAAATCCCACAATAGCTACACCTTCTTTCATCACAAGTGAAAATGGGGTTCCCCCAGCCTTAGACCCAAATGGCCCATAATTCTTTGCATTAGTTATAAAACATAGAGATTTTATAACTGAATGGCTGCCACAATATCCAAATGTTCCCGTGATACCTATTAAGTACTCCAATGGAGTTGCCTCAATAATTACCTGAGGTTATTGCAAATCACAGAGCTGTTAGATAAGTAGCAGAATTGAGAATTTTGTCAAGAATATCATATTCGGATTTGAAATCTTTGGACCTAAAGCAAATCTAGACACTTAATTGAATCCTCTCAATGCAAAGGAACCNGAAACTTTGACAAGAATTCAGAAAAGTGCAAGCATGTCATATTAGGATTCAAAATCCCTGACCTAAAGCAAATTTGGACACTTAGTTGAATCCTCCCAATGCAAAGGAAGCAGCAAACTTAAATATGAAGCAACAAGTTCATTCATATCTTTGACTTGAAAGATGCTTATATAACTATAGATTTTACACTGTGTATACTAAAATTGCAAAACGTTACTACACTATCATATTAAGTTAATCTATAACATGATTTTTCATATGAAGAGTTTGATAAGGTAACTTGAAGGTTGTAAGATAAACGAATAACCTGTTATAACTGGTTTAATTGTCTTAATAATTAAATTTTTTTTACATAATTTAAGCTCGTTGCTATGACATGACACAAAATAAACTTGAGAAGAACGTGACAATTACGAGAAATAAATATGTTGACCACAATATTTTTGGACTTACCTTATCTCTTCGACCACCATCCCCACCAAACTTTGGTGAGTCGATGGTAGTACCTTGTTCAATAATGGTTTTGAACATGATGGAGTCTATAACATCTCCATGAGTAATCAATATTTCTTTAATAGGACTTTTCAGCATGTAATTCCATTCTGATCCACCAGTGCCTCCCCATGGCTCCAACAATATTGAGTCCGCTTGATCGTAACTCAGTTGATTTCCCTTCACGTATATAACAAATCAATGGCTCCATTATCTTCCGTGAAAAAAAATAGAATGAATATAGATACAGTCATGTAATAGAAGAGAAGGCAAGGTACCATTGTTGGCGATTTGCTTTGATTTTCTTTTTCAATCCCTTTCTCTTAATATTTCTTATGATCATTCTATTTAAAGTTATTCATTCTATATAGAGAAAATGCATAAGTACCTCCATGACCTATAGTCGGATTTCCAACTACACACTTTATCTTTACGGGGGGTTCTATTACCCCTGAACTATTTTGAAATAGAATTATTTGCACCCTAAAGGCTTATGTGGCAGAGCGTGTGTATTTCATTCTCCATGAGAGAGTGAGAGGCAAAATTATAATTTTAATTTCTAGAAAAAATTTACTTTCTTAATATTTTAAAATTAAATATATAATTTCTCACGTTTCCTTTTTTATGTTCTTTTCCTTAAGACTTCTTTTTTTACTTCTTTTCTTTTCTCCTACAGTTTCGTCTTCACTTTTTGACATCATTCGTCGGCGACGTTGTCCGGCTTTTCTTCTTTCATTTATCATGCTAATATGCTTCTTCTTTCTCTTCCTTTCACACACAATAACACTCTCAAAAAGATTTATTCATATGCAAAACAAAATATACTCAGATCTGAAAAAATATCTATCATCGGAAAATCTTTTCTACGCCGGAAAAAATGGTGTCAATGAAATTTTAACCGAAAGAATTTTTTTTCTAACCCAACAGCACATATATACTCAAGATCATTCACCATCACTCACCTTTTAATTTTGATTACGCCGCCCACAACCACCATCCAAAACCCTCAACCACAATAGCCATTAAAGACCTTAAGCCAAGCATAACAGCAAAAAANCAAAAAAAAAAAAATGTCACTGATTGAAGACATTAGGGTGAATCCTTGTTGTTCAGCTTGGTTAGGTGACATAAATCAAATAGAGAAAGGAGAAAGGAAAAAAGAAGAGAAAATGAGGAAGAGAATAAGAAATAAATAAAAACTTTAATGAAATACCACGTGTCAAGCGAGTGTGGTTCACCTCCTAAAACAATATTGTGGTATTTTAAGGATGAATTTATTCTACTTCAAAATAGTTCAGAGGATAATAGGACCCCCGCAAAGATAAAGTGTGTAGTTGGAAATCTGACTATAGGTGAGGGAGTACTTATGCATTTTCCCTTCTATATAAGGTGTTAGAAGAGTAACATAAGTCATTAGTTTTTTTTTCAATCCCTTTCTCTTAATATTTCTTATGATCATTCTATTTGAAGTTATTCATTCTATATAAGGTGTTAGAAGAGTAACATAAGTCATTAGTTTTAAGAAAGGGATTCGTGCTTGTGTGTAAGTATGAGGTGAAGTAAAGTAAGTAGAGGTGATTAAGCAAAGGAGGAAATAATCACTTAAACCTAGCATTTAATCACATCGTGTCTCTCCGTTTTCATCTTTATATTTCTTTGTTGCCCACTGAGTACTAAGATTCAAAGGTTAGAGGATCAATTTAGGGAGAGGAAAAGAGGCATAACCTCAAAAATTAACATATTGGAATCACAAAGAAAGATCGTAAAGGATCATTGACACATGGGCATCTAATCATATGTCAGGTTGCTTAAAATTATTACATAATGTGCGAAAAATATATAGATGTCCTGTGCTTCGCCTGATGAAAGCAATGTTGTAGCCACCAACGAGGGTTCAACAACGCTTGTAGGAAATTTGGTTTTGAAAAATATTCTTTGTGTGTCCGGCTTAACGTGCAATTGATATCTATCGCGATTGATGGATCACTCAGATTTTTTTCCTATGCATTAAAATTTTATGTGTTATACATGACATCACCTCAAGGATGTTGACTGGAGTGTGTGAACGAAGAGATGGATTCTACTTTTTTTAGAACAAGTCGAGGGTGTGTGCGCTGAAGATAAGTGGCGTTGACTTGTTGAATCTTTGGTACAAGCATTTGGGACATCCTTCTCTATAAGTGACCTAATCAATTTTTGTTGTAGATTTAAAAAAAAATGACGTTTTGTATAAGAGTTGTGATGTGTGTCATCGGACAAAACAAAGGAGAGAAAAAAATTTCTTTGAGTAATTTTAGAGTTTCTAGCATTTGTGAATTAATTCATTGTAATTTATGGGTACTTTATCGAATGACTTAGTCTTGAGGTGCATCGTATTTTTTATTATTGAAGATGATTATTCGCGTGCTAGTAGAGTTTTTTATTGATTGATAAGAAAGAAGTAGCCAAACTGTGAAGAGATAATTCAATAAGCGTGGAAAGAAAACATCATCACATATTGAATGTAGCACGGGCCTTGCATTTTCAAGGTAATTTACCTATAGAGATTTTTTTTTTTTTTTTTGGGGGGGGGATGTATTTGACAGCATGCCATTTGATTAATGGAGCTCCGTCCTTAACTTTGAATGGAAAAACCCCTTATAAGCTTTTATATGGTCAGAGTGCCTATGTATGGGCATCTTCAAGTATTTGGATACGTGTGTTTATGCACATAATTTAGGGAAGACGGGTGACAACTTTTCGAGTAGAAGTGGTAGGTGTATTTTTTTTATATTTGTTAGGACTAGGATTTACTATTTGTATATATATTCTTGTTACTCAATAGATGAAGGCAAGGCTTTTCTCTTCCTTTTTGACTCGGTCTATATTTTGGCAACCATTAAGTAAATTGTATATATCTTATATGTCGATTGTATAAACGGCATACAATATATACAACTAACATAATTTTATATAAGTTGTATGTATATATAATTTTTTTACCACATTTTGTTCAATAAAAGGTTATATTCAAATTGTATATAATTGTAGCTTTTGACTGAAATTACTGTTGAGGGTCCCATTATCATAAATTCAAAGGCTTCCTCTTTCGAGAATTCTTAGTATTACTTATATTAGGGAGAAAATTTGAAAAACGATTTATGAGCGAGTGAGAGAAAAAACACTTTGGTTTTCTTCTGGCAGAAACCTATTTGTAACTTTGAACAGATACTACTATTAAGGGTTGTGTGCCTTCCCTTTTATATATGATTGTACAAATTGTATGACATACCGATAATTTGATTGCTTTCCCTTTCTCTCTTTCTCCTTCAATTTCTTTTCCTCTTTCCATTGTTGTAACTGTTCCTTCCCTTCCTTTCATGTTCTCAAAATCTGATGTATAAAATATACATAAAACCTAATCAGGAGAAAGAATACAAAGAAACTGGAGAAAGTCATTGCAGAAAACACGATTGCAGATATAAAAATTCAGTTAAATAAACTTTGTTTAGCTAAGACCATGGTTGACTAACCTTTTTAATTGATGTTGAAGATGAAAATTCTGAGATATATACTGAGTCAACACAGATTATGTAATGGTTGCTCCTCTCTGTTTTTGTGTATGTATGAATTCTCCCCTTTTCAACAAACCAACAACTTAGAGATTAGAAGTTGAAAATTCGAAATAGGATAAGGGCACCATATCATTGATGTTAGGTAGAAATTGGTTGGACGCCAATTTTGAAATATATAGTGTTTAGCTTTAGCAAGGAGGGAGTTTTTGGAGAGAGTAAGACGAGGGTGTATCCAAAAAAGCCTCTCTATCCAAACTATCCTCTCCAGACCCCACTAGTGAATTATACTGGGTTGTTGTTATTGTTGTTATTGTTGTATAGTCTTTAGAGGAAAACAATGTCCCAAATAGTCAACTATCTTTGTACTTTAACTCAAACTAATCCTATTTTTTTTTATATGGAGCACAAATAATCCACATTCTTTAATAAAGTGGTACACTTTTAGTCTCCATGTTTCACTACTAGAAATCCGCTAAACACCGACCAAAAAAGCCGACCAAAGTTGGTCGGTTATGGCAAATTACTGACTAAAACGCGACCATTTATGTGTGGACGGTATTTTGACGGTCGGAAAGGCATACCGATCAAAGTTGGTCGGAAATTACCGACCAACGTTGGTCGGTCAATTAAATTCAAAAAAACAATATTGCAAAAAAAACCGACCAAAGTTGGTCGGTTTTTTAATTATGTAATCAAAAGATTCACCATCTGGGAATCGAACCGGGGTCTGTACTGTGGCAGGATAGGTGCATTTTATTTTAAGACTGTCTTTTATTTGATTTATACTCTTTAATTGTATTTTTGCACAAAAATAACCGACCAAAGTTGGTCGGTTTTTTAAAATGACCGGCCGAATTAACCGACCAATTTTGGTCGGTTTTTTTAATATTAATTTTTATTTATTTTAATTGAAATACCGACCAAAATTGGTCGGTTTCTTGAAAAATAAATTTTGCGGGACTCAAAAATAGTTTCCCGCATTTTTGCGCCAAAGAAAACCAACCAAAGTTGGTCGGTTTCGTAAAAAAAAATTTAATAAAAAAAATATTTTGAAAAATCGACCAACTTTGGTCGGTTTTTTGGCCGGTTGTTTGACCGACCAAAGTTGATCGGTCGACCTTAGTCGGTTTTTGCCGAATTTCTAGTAGTGTTTGATATGAAAAAATAAAATTCCATAGGAAAATATTTTCCTAGAAAATGAGTTGTTATCATTTATTTTTCCTTGTTTGTTTGGTTGGTTTGTTTAGAGAATAAAATATTTTTTAGAAATTGTTTTTTGCTACTTTTCTTACCCCCTCCCCCTTCTCCCAATTCCCCATGTTTCTCGTGCTCCCCTTCCCCCTCCCGTCCCCTTCTCCCAACCCCAATTACCCAACGTTTTCAAAACTATATTTTCTTCAAGAATTTAATTATTCTTTTAAAAATTTACAAAAACCTAAAGGGAATAATGTGTTGCTTTACCTTTTCTCGCAAAAACAATGTTGAAATTTGTGTCACGCAACTAAAAAGAAAATACTCTTTTTTTGGTTGAAAAAGAAAGTACTCTTTCTACAACATGAAAAAAAGTACTTATTTTGTTAAAATGAAAGAAAATACTTTATCTATATCATAAAAAGAAAATACTCTTTTTTTGGTTGAAAAAGAAAGTACTCTTTCTACAACATGAAAAAAAGTACTTATTTTGTTAAAATGAAAGAAAATACTTTATCTATATCATAAAAAGAAAATACTCTTTTTTTGGTTGAAAAAGAAAGTACTCTTTCTACAACATGAAAAAAAGTACTTATTTTGTTAAAATGAAAGAAAATACTTTATCTATATCATAAAAAGAAAATACTTTTTGCTACATTATTTTGTTGAAATGAAAGAAAAATACTTTTTCTAAATCATAAAAAAAAAAAACGAATTAACCCAAATAGCCGCCTACCCAACTACTTAAACTAAAAATATCCGGTAGATGTATAATATATGTATAATTTAAGTATTATATGTGTATAATTATGTATAATAAATGTATAATCTATGTATATGGCCAGAAAATGTAAATAGTGAAGAAAAGATTGAAGAAAAGGGTGTGGAAGGTTGAAGAAATATTTTGGAAAATGTTTTCTTCTCTTGACAGGGAAAATATTTTTCTCCAATTGGAGGAAAATGAGTTCATGAGGAAAATATTTTCCAAAATATTTAAGCCAACCAAACATGAGAAAATTGAAAAATATTTTCCGGAAAATATTTTTTTTTCATATCAAACATGTAACTAAAAGTGTATCACTTTATTAAAAAATGTGGACTATTAGTGTTCCATGTGAAAGAAATATGTCACGACCCAAAATTTCCACCTTCGGTATCGTGATGACGCATAATATTTCACTTGCTAGGCAAGCCAACGTTAGAATAATTTAAACTATTTTTTTAAAAAAAATTTAGATTTCTTAATAACAAAGAAACAAGTGCGGAAATAAAGTCTAAAATAAAGTGAATAATCCATAATAATAGCGATGTCTAAAATACTATCCCAAAACTGGAGTCACAAGTGCACGAGTTTCTAGAATAATATAAACAAGGGTCTGAATAAAATAAAGTTGTATGAAAGAAAGCACACAGCTAAAATAAAGTAGAAGGGGACTTCAGAACTGCGAACGTCGTGCAGCTATACCTCAAGTCTCCACTTGTAGCTGAATCCGAGCAAAATCTACAATACACCGCTAGGACCAACTCAGGAATCTGCACAAGAAGTGCAGAGTATAGTATGAGTACAACCGACTACATGTACTCTGTAAGTACTTAGCCTAACCTCGACGAAGTAGTGACGAGGCTAAGGAAGGTCACTTACATTAACATGTACGCAATAATAGTAATAACAACAATAATAGAAATAAAACAAGTAACTCATTTTAATAGTTGAAGCCAACTCGGCAGTCATAACCAACTATTATTTCAATCCATTTCCATTGCGGCGTGCAACCCACTCCAACAATATAATTCTTCAATAAATTTCTGTTGCAGCGTGTAACTCGCTCCAACAATATAAACTTAAAATATAATCCGTTGCGGCGTGCAACCCGATCTCCTAATATATTCCTTTTCATCTTCGTTGTGGCGTACAACCCGCTCCAACAATATAATTTAACAACTCTTAAATATAATAAAAATACTCTAATAAATACCACGTTCAGTAAGAAATTATTAGGCAACAATGAACACAATATTTATAAATTATTTAGGAACAAGTAATGACAAGTAGCAATTAATTGAGGAAATCAGGAAGAAAATAGGCAATTTAATTTCTAATATACTAAATGTCAAGTAGCAATTAAGTCACATAAGTCAAATAAATATGTAACAATTATAGCATGGATTCAAGGCATAATATTGAGTAAGGAATATGTGAGAAATAATTAATATAATAACTAATTTATGTCTCAAAATAATTTATGATTTTAAATAATTATGCTAACAATTAATTTGACGACATATAGGCACTCGTCACCTCGCCTATACGTCGTTCACATGAATTTCATATAACAAATCATTCAAGGGTTCTATTCCCTCAAGTCAAGGTTGACCATGATACTTACCTCGATTTACAACCAACTCCAGATTTCAATACACCCTTTCCTCGCGAATTAGTGTCCGAAAATTTTAAATCTAGTCACAAACAATTCAATATACTCAACACGAATCGTAGGAATTAATTCCATATGAATTTTACTAATATTTCGGATTAAAATCCAAAATTCATTTTAAAATTTGACTGTGGGACCCACGTCTCGAATCCCAAAAAACACACAAAATCCGAACAACCGTTCCGATACGAGTTCAACCATATAAAAATTATCGAATTCCAATATCGGATTGACCTTCAAATCTCAGTTTTACTTTTTTGGAAGATTTTATAAAAATCTGATTTTTCTTCCATAAATTTACGGATTCATGATGTAAATGAGTATGAAATCATGAAATATAATTAATATAGGATAATGAACACTTACCTCAATGTTTTTCCATGAAAATCGCCCAAAAATCTTCTTACCCGAGCTCAAAATCGTGAGAAGTGAAAAATGGGATGAAATTCCATTTCCAGAACTTAAGTTCTGTTGCCCAGTCATTTACCCTATGCGATCGCGAAGCAAAAAAAATTTCTAGTATTTTTTACTCTATGCGATCGCGGCCATTCTCCCGCCATCGCGAAGAACAAATTTTTCCAACAACCTTCTCCAACTCTTCCGGACAACCTCTAGTATAATGGTCATAACTATTTGTACAAAACTCCAAATAACAAATGGCTATCTTTCTAAAAACTAGACACCAATATCTACAACTTTCACGTTTTGGCCATCTCCTAATTCCTTTTACATTTCGAGATATAAGCTGTCAAAGTCAGCCATGTGCAACACAAATTTCTTCATCGCGATTTCCAAACATCTTCCCGGACAGCCTGTAGTGTACTAATCATAACTTTTTGTACACAACCCCAAATGCCAAATCGTTTACTTTTATGAAAACTAGACAAAAAAGGATACAACTTTCATTTTTGGATCATCTCCAATTCCTTATAGATTGCGAGATATAAGCTTCTAAATTTGGGTCAGTGCAGCAGAAGTTTCCTCTACGCGATCATAAAAGGTAATCCGCGATCGCGAAGCACTGGTCAATTTCTCCCATTTTACTCATCGCGATCGCGAACAATTACCCACGATCGCATAGAACACTGCTATAGCCAAAAACCAGCAGATAAAAATAGCCTAGAAATGGTCTGAAACCACCTGAAACTCACCCGAGCCCCTCGGAACCCCGTCCGAATATTCCAACAAGTCCTGAAACATAATACGGATTTACTGGGGGTTTCAAATCACGTCAAACAACATCGAAATTAAAAATCACACCTCGATTCGGACTTTTGAGTTTTAAACTTTTCAATTTATAAAACTTGTGCTGAAACATGTTAAATGAATCCGGAATAACTTCAAATTTGGCACACAAGTCATAAATAACATAATGGATCTACTCCAATTTTCGGAATCTCAATCCGAGTCTGATATCAATAAAGTCAACTCCACGATCAAACTTTGAAAATCTTTAGTCTTTATATTTCTAGTTTCCGTTAAATAGCGATAATTTGAGCTAGGGACCTTTGAATTCGATTTCGGACATACG